GAGGTAAAAGGCGAAGGATGGGAGTATGGACAAGGAAGAAATGGAGGAAGGCGGAAGGGGGGCGAGAGAAGGGGCAACGGAGAGAGAGACGCGCAGGGCAACCGCAGGGAGCAGTAAAAGGGCGAAGGATGGCGAGACATGGGCAACGAAGAGAGCGGGGAGGGGAAGACACACGGGACACGGGGGGGGGAGGAGCTACAGGACTTAGCCGGCCGGAATTTATACTGGCGGGTCCCATAGGCGTCGTATCTCTCCCCAGCGCTGGCATTCACGCACCGCGAACGCAGCGCGCGCTCGGCTCATCGCCGTCTTGCCAAGCGGCATCAACTGCCACCCATTTTCGCTGCGTCGGCGGTGGTTGGCCCGGCTCCTCCTCTCTCTTTCGTTCCTCTCTCTTCTGCTTCTCAACCTTCCTCGCTCTCTCTCTTCTGTCTGTCTCTCTCTCTCCTCTCTCCTCTTTCTCTTTTTCTCTCCTCTTTGTCGATCTCCACCTCTCTCTCTCTCTCTCTCTTTCTCTCACCGGCCTTCCTTCCTCTCTCCTCCCTCCTCTCTCTCTCGCTCTCTCTCTTTTTCTCCTTTTTCTTCTCTCTTTGTCTGTCTCACTCCCTCTCCTCCTCTCCTCTTCCGTCCTCTGCTCCTGTCTCCTCTCTCGCTCTCTCTCTCCTCTTCTCCTCACTGCCTTCTCTCCTCCTCACTTCTCTCTCTCTCTCTTCTCTGCTTCCTCTCTCTCTCTCTCTCTTTCTCTGCTCATCTCTCTCTCTCTCTTCTTCTCTCTCTCTTCTTCTCTCTCTCTCTCTCTCTCTCTTCTCTATTCCCTCTTCTCTCCTCTTCTCGAAGATGTCAAATCTATCTCAGCTCTCTGTTCGAAAAGTTATCTCCTAGCTTGTTTATCCTATTTTCTTTCTCTCTCGCATAAAAGAAATATCAGATTTATTTACGTTTTTTGCTCAATGGATTTCACGTCGACCAAGATTTACGTGTCGTTTCATGTAGTTCGACCGAGACCCTCACAAGATGCTAAAATCAAGTCGACCAGGCAATCGATGCTGCGGAGATAACATTACGTATCTAAATTTACTCATTTATATTCACTCAGTTACTGTATTCATTCACATATCCATCTTTTTCTCGTTCCTTCTGTGGCCCAACCTGTTTATTTGAATATTTTGAGGAAAAATATTTGTACGCGCGCAGACACGCACACATAGACACACACACACACACCACACACATGGAATGACGCGAGGTAAAAAAATCGTACCTTTTTATTACTACTGTCGCTGTCGAACTACTAAAAGTGACAAGAATAATACGAAGTAAAACAATGATTCAGAATATTAACATTTTACAAAGATACGAATATCAATACTAATACAGATACTGCTGATGATAAAGATACTGACATAATTAATTCAATTCTTTATACTAGTAAAGATACATATATTGACATATATGATACTATACTAATACTAGAAATCAAGCTTATACTAAAGCCAATATAAATTCATGTCCACATTAATACTGATATTGATAGTAATGCAAATATTGATATCAATACTGTATTTTTGCTAATGTTTCCCTAAGTACTAAACTAATAATGATTATTGTTCTAAGAAAAAAAAATGACATATTATGATAACAATAACAGCATTCGCAACAGAAACAAATGAATGACAACAAAAGTGCTGATAATAATGATAAGGATATCAATGATGATCATGATATTGGTAATCTTGATAATATTCTTAGTAATAGTAAGAATGATAATGGCAATATCAACAATACTGATTACTAAGATAATAATAATGATGATAATAATGATAATGGTAGTAATAATAAAAACAATAACAATGATATTAGTGATGATTATAATGATATTGATAATAGTGATTAAAATTATGATATCAATAATAACAACGTTAGCAATAAGAGTAGTAATACTACTAACAATAAGGATAAAATTAAAAATATTATCATAGAGTTAATAACAGCAATAATACTTAGAATCGCGGTTGCAATAGTGACCCTGATCCTGACAGCTGGAGAGAGAAGAGAAGCAAGCTTTTTCAAGCTTTGTACCAACTCCATTTTTTTTTTCGTTATGGAACAATAAAATCCCATTGTTAATAGCACTTGCACCGTTACAATGTTCACAGAGGGACGTTCAGGGTAACGACCAAATTTTGTGAACATTTTAAAGGAAAAATGTGGAGGTTAAGCTGGTAAATGATTTTCAAATAACACTTTTGTACATTTGTGCACTGCGGTTCATGGCTCATGGATGTGTTGGTACGAGTAACGACGTACATATACATATTGTGTGTGTGTTGGAGGGGGATGTATATGTATGTATGTTTTTATTTCTCTTCTCTCTCTCTCTCTTCTCTCTCTCTCTCTCTCTCTCTCTCTCTCTCTCTCTCTCTCTCTCTCTCTCTCTCTCTCTCTCTCTCTCTCTATATATATATATATATATATATATATATATATATATATATATATATATATATATATATACACATCATGGCTTTTAATGTCTGATTGTGTCATCAAAAGAGCAGAGCCAAATCCCGCCCCCCCCTCCCCCCCCTAATACTCCCCTCCGAAAATCCTCCACAAAAACAGACCTTTAAGTCGCCTTCAAAAGGACCCAGAGTGCCCGGGAGGGGTGGAAGGGGGGGGGTGCATGAGTGGCTTATGAGGTGGGGGGGGGTCGGAGATGGAGATGGGGGAGGGGGGAGGGGAGGGTTTAAAGAGGAAGAGATTGGCATACGAGTGACATTAAACATTCTCTCTAAAGGTCAGTTCCTCCCCCTTTTTTTAAGGATACTTTTAGGATCAAAGAGACGGAGGAACAACAAGGAGTAGTCTCTCTCACTTGCTTTAAATTCCGCTCTCTCTTTGAGTGGCTTTGTGTCCTTCAAGCCGGCCGAGAGTCCTGTACATAAGGATGTTAGAGCTGCATAGAAGGAGGTTCAGGTCTATCCACCTATCTATCTCTCTATCTGCCATTCTGTCTTATCTATTTATCTGGATAGTCATCTACGTGTAGGGATGTATGTATCGTTCTCCTCCCTTTCTTTCTCTGTTTGTTATTTATTTATTTATTTTTATATTTATTTTTTTTGTGGTGTCTCTCTCTCACCCACTCTTCTCCTTTCACTCTTTATCCTTCCTCTCTAACCCTTCCTTCCTCTCTCTCTAGCCTCCTATTAGCCTTGTCTCTACTCTATCTCCTTTCACCTTTATCCCTTGCCTCTCTCTCTAGCATTTTCCCTCTGTCAGTCTGTCTGTCTTCCTCTCTCTCTCTCTATCTCCCTTCACCCCCATCCTCTATAACCTTTCCTTTCTCTCTCTACTCCTCCTTCCTTTCCTCCTTCTTCTTGCTCTTCTTCATTTTCCCTTCTGTCAGTCTGTCTTCACCCCCCATCTCTCTCTCTCTCTCACCCACTCTATCTCCCTTCACCCTTTATCCCTTCCTCTATAACCCTTCCTTCCTCTCTCTCTACTCCTCCTTCCTTTCCTCCTTCTTCTTGCTCTTCTTCATTTTCCTTTCTGTCAGTCTGTCTGTCTTCACCCCCCCCCTCTCTCTCTTTCACCCACCCTTCCCTCTAACCCTTCACCTTCCTCTCTCCTCCTCTTCCCTTCCTCCTTCTCCTTTCCTCCCTCCCTCCCCTTCCCCCTCTCTCCTCCCCCTCCCCCCCCTCCCTCGTTCTCCCATCTGTTTGCTGTGTAAACTGCGATCAGCTCGGATTCGAGACCGGCCAATATCACTGCCATTTTCTTAGAAGGAAAAATTGGAAGTGAATCGATTGTTTCAATTTGGTTGACTTTTCTTTATTCGACATCGTATTTCGACATATTGTCATGTTTGCAGTCACTTTGCAGACAAGTGTCATGTCGCCCCCCCCCCTTAGTTTCTCTCTCTCTTCTTTCTTTTATTGATAACAAACACACATTCAGTTGTTAAGTATTTACTCGGCGGTTGTTATAGTTATAAAAACTACAAGGGTGGACTTTCTTTCTGCAGATAACGGCAGTTTTTGGAGACACTGAGAAATCTATTATTATGATTGTTGTTATTTTCATTAACATTTTTATTGTCATCAGTATCATCGTTGTTGGCGATTTGTTTTCATTGTGTTTATCATCATTATCATTCTTTTTATCATTACTATTATATCTAATATTATCATTATTACTATTGATATTATTCTTATAATCGTTATAACCATCCATTATTGATATCATTTATGGTAATTATTGTCATTACCATTATCGTTGCTATTATTATAAATATCACAGTGATTATGATTATTAATAATATGATTATGAACAATGCCTTGTCATTGTTATCGACAACATTATCATTGTTGTTAAGCCTGTTACATTACATATGACTAAATAAACATAAAATGATATGATAATTGATTAATGGTTAAACACAAACAATGAAAATGATAAATCTATGATATAATTATAAAACAATACATACTCAAGGATGTTAATAACTATAGTAATGATAACGATAATGATGATTATAAGATGACATCAGCATTATTCTTAATAACACTTAACAATATCAACAATGACATTTCCGATTTAAAAAACAATATTGATAATTAAGCTGCTATTACATCTCGACAACCATAAGACACAATAAAAATACACCAATGACCTTTTTCTCTGGCCTTTCCAGGTTTCAAAAGACCACCTGGTTCACTACCCATCGACAGCCGAGGGAGAACCGGCACTGTACACGTCAACGCTGGGCCTCACGCTAACTGCCACGTCAAGCCTATTTGCTGAAGGTGTTCTCAATCTCAG